ATTTATATCAAGATGTCTGGGGTTAATAATGCTCCCTTGATATTTGAATCAAAATGACATTGAACCTCATGATTTTTTTTGGCTATGAAATTGTTCTCTTACATAATATTGTAAACATAAGAGCTTTAAAAAAAACATGGAAAATCCAACAGTGTTGACATATGAGCTGCTGGTTTTCATCTTCAGATGAACCTGTTTGTAGAGAAGGCTCATGAGTCTCTTATTTTCTCTTACAAACAAGACTACTGCATACTTTTGGATTACAGTGTCTTCCACCTACAACAACTATGGGAGAGACCACGACAACAGAAGGCATGAACAGAGCCACAGCCAATGCTTCATGTGAACTTTGATGTTTTACACTAACCTGGTTAATCTGTAAAGAGAAAATTGAGCCATTCCTTCGAGTGAAAATTGTGGAACAAGTGTTGGCGACATGCCTCATCAGGAAGAGGCACTTGCTGTCTACCCTGACGACCTGGGTTTGATCTGCACGGGTGGCTATGGTAAAAGACAAAAGTCAACTCCTGCAAGTTGTACTCTGACCTCCACACCTATGTTGTGGAACATAAAATTAAATTAAATTAAAAAAATAGTAAACAGAAGAAAAAACAAAAGGTACAGAATAAATATTCTGTGCCCAGTAAAAGTTTCTGTACTTGGAAATTACTTGGTAAATTTTTAACTTTTTTTTTCAAGTTATTTTCTACATATTAATAACAAAATAAGAATGGATCATCGTATTCATAGGAAAGTCTTTCCCAAAATATCTCCCCCTGCTCAATTCCCTGAACAAAGTTGTCTGCCTCCATTTCTGTGCTTTGTCAGAGCTGTGTTGACTCAAGACACAAATCATTCCTCTATCATCTGACTCACTTAAAAATTCCCACAGGGCTTCCCTACACAGAAATGACAGTTCATGTCTAGACAGTTTGCTACCTTCTACAAAGATATCTGAATGGATAAGAAATAAAAATGGGGCTGGATATGTGACACAGTAGTTAAGAGTGTAGCTCACTGCCTCTTCCAGGCAGCTAGACTTGTCAAAGAGTCTTCTGAGAGGTGTCCTTCAGAAGTCCTTACTGCTTATGTGTGATTTAAGAAAGTAGGGGTCCTTGACAATCTGATCACTGTCAGGGACGCCATGAAGCTGTTTCTTTCCTGGGTTATTGAGCTTCCCTGAAGGATGGAATGTTTTGCTTCCCCTTTGAACATCCTGTTTCTTAACATCTTCCCTCCAAGATGGAAGGTTTTATCTCACAAACAATTGCTTCACAACAACTGTGTAGTTAAAAAAGAAAAGAAAGCTAACTAGCAGAGACCTAATTTTTGTCCTTTATTTTTAAATTAATGTTTTATTTAGCATACAAAGAAATGGATTTCATTTTAACATTTTTATGCTTATACCACACTTCATTTCTTCTTAAATTTTAAAATTATATTTTTTATCTTGCTTGCCTATGTGTATGTATGTGTTTTTAGGTCATCACCTGTTTTCCCCATTCTCTCCATCTCCATCTCACAGGCCCCAACAGTCCCCACTTCTGTTTTCATGACTTACATTTTTATGATATTTTCTTAATTAAAGCGGTGATTAAGATGTTATCACAAAGAAAACTTGTTATGTCCAAAGGGTACCAAACCCACCCCCACAAAAAAAAAATCGTAGGCCCACTATTGGTCCAAAATTGAGTCAAAGCTCAGTTCAACATGGACAATGGGAGGATTTCTGGCAGTTTATAAAAGCAAATGTTCAAAATGTAATCCTCATTTTCCAAAAGGAGTAGTTTCCCTTAGCTCTGGCAGAAAGGACATATGACTTTCCAACTAACATATACCTGTAGTACCTATCATCATATCAAAGTCCATACTAGCCACCAGGCTCCCTCAGCCCCTACTCACAAGTATTTCTTATACATTTTAAAGCTTCCTTCCACTTCATAGGCTCCTCTTTTCCAAGATACCTGTTCTCCTTATAACCTTTGAGGTTTTTTTTCCCATCTTGTATTTCATTGCTTCCCCAATAAACTTTCCCTGTTCCACCTATGGAGTTGCCATTTTCGTTTCTTAACTATGCTTCTCACATGCATCTGTTGCCAAAATCCAGGACCACGGGCCTAGAAGTTTCAAATGTAGACTTAAGATACATATTTTCCCCTAAGCTCCTTAACTATGCCTTCTGTCCCTAGTCTATATCTGTCCTAGAAGATTTCTACTCAATTGACAGATATCATCCATAGTCAAATGTAGCCCTGCAGACTGCTCCAAAGTGGCCTGGGTTTCACCATCCTCAGGTGGTCCTGAAGAACTAGCAACACCTGGATATGCTAAAAGTCACTGCAAACCAGTGCAGCCAGTATGATTACTCCCTATCCCTTCAGGCTGGGTTAGTAAATCAGGTGCTTCTAACAAAAGTCTCCTGCCATTGAGTGATATGCTTCCATGATCTCCAGCCTTTGACCACCACTCCAAGCCTTCCTGCGTTGGGACAATGACAAACTAATTTCAGCTGTGAAGCAGTTACAGCAGAGAACATTGCCCCTTATCATCAACAAAAGGCTTCAATGTCAGATTCAAAGAGCACTCCCCACTTTAAAAGGGCAGACCTACTGATTCAACAAAAATTGAGTTTAGGCCCAACTCAACATGTCCTACAAGGTAATTACTGATGGCTAAACAAAAGCCAACAGAATTATTCAGGAACTGGTTTCCAATCTGCCAAAGGGAGTCCCTTACCCCTGGCAGAAGGGACATATGGCTCCATTGACATACACCTGTGGCTGCATATCAAAGCCCATGCTGGCCTCTAGGCTCCCTCAGTATCAAAACTACCTGTTCAACATTTCAAAGTCCATACTAACATCTCGTAAGATCCTAGCCCTTCTCACTTCCGCAGGCTTTTCTCCTCCAACATACACATTTGTTCTCTTTGTAATGGCAAAGATCTGCCCATCTCTACTATTCTCCCTCTCCTTCTCTCTTCCCTCTCCCTCTTACCCCCTCAGCATCCTTAGCCATTGTGGAAATGCAAATCCAAATGACACTGAGTTTCCATCTTACTTCTGTCAGAATGGCTAAGATCAAAGCCACAAGTGACAGCTCATGCTGGAGAGGATGTGAACAAGAGGAACACACCTCCATTCATGGTGGGGGTGCAAACTTGTACATCCACTTTGGAAATCAATATATGGTGGATCCTCAGAAAAATTAGGAATTTATATACCTCAAGACCAAGCTATACCACCCCTGGGCATATAACCAAAAGATGCTCCACCATACCATAAGGACTACTCTTATGTACTACTGTGTTCATAGCAGCTTTATTTATAGTAGTCAGAGACTGGAAACAACATAGATGTCCCTCAACCTATGAATTTTATAGAAATTGTGGTTCATTTACACAATGGAGTATTGTTCTTCTGTTAATAAATAAATAAAATCATGAAATTTGCAGGCAAATGGATGGAACTGGAAAAAAATTATCCAGAGTGATATAACCCAGACCTAGAAAGACAAACATGATATTTACTAATATATAAATTGATATTAGCTTTAAAATAAAAGATAATCATGCTAAAATCCACAGACCTATACAGACTAAGTAACAAGGAGGGCTCGAGGGGTTAGGGTTTGGGGGAACATGTCCCTGGGAAGGTTAAATAGAATAGGTTTCATGGGTGGACTGGACTGAGTGGGGATCCTGTGGAAGAAGAGGGCTAGAGGGAGAGAATACTAGGAAAGATGCTGGGAGATGTCTTTCTGTATGCTGTAAATATATGTTGTTCCCATTGGTTAATAAATGAGCTGCTTTAGCCTATGGCAAGGCAGCTTAGAGGCAGGTGGGAAATCCAAGAGAGAGACAGGATAAGAGAGATGGAATAAGGGAGACGCCAGACTACTATCCTAGGAGCAACATGTAATGGGATGCAGGTAAAGCCACGAAACACGGGGTGATACATAGATTATTAATTATTAATTAATAATTAATTAACTATAAGAGCTAGCTAGCAAGAGGCCTACCATAGGCCATAAGGTTTGTAGATAATAATAAGATTCTGAATGATTATTTTATAAGTGACTGAGGGACCCCGGTGCCAGGCAGGACTGGAAAATCCTTCTGGCTACAGAGAGATGACGAATTGAGAGGGGTGAGGTAGAAACCCAGTGCAATGGAAACTTCCTGGAATCTATGAGGGTGAGCCTAGAAAGATTTCAAGTAATGGGAGATACAGAGCCTGAACCAACCATCTTCTGTAAGCAGGCTAGACTTCTAGTGGAGGGACAGGGACACCAACTCAGCCACAAAACCTTTGACCTACAATTTTTTTTCCTGCCTGCAAGATGTGCTGGGTTAAAAGCGGTACAGAAGTTGTGGGAGTGGCCATCGAGCGACTGGTCCAATTTGAGGCCCATGCCACAAGAGGAAGCCCATGGCTGACACTGCCTGGAGGGTCAAGACCCAGAGGCTGGATAGCCCAGAGACCTAGGATAGAACCAAACAGGGCTGTTAAAAAAAAGTCACAAGAACTCAGGTCACAGAATCAACTAATCAGGTCTTGTACATTCTGTTGCACTTAATTTTGGACTTGACCTATCATGCCACATTGTAACAGATCCTCCCTGTTTTTGCAGCATGTGCATTCAGACGTAGGCTGTAGAGTGCTTTTTATAGTATAGTGGTAAGAAGAGCTGCCTTTCATAGGTATGATGCATGTTGTCCATGTTCATAGATATCTAGGTTGTTCTTAACATTTTCATGTTAATATGCCAAATGAGAATGGAATAAAAAAAGCATAAAAAATACTTGGTATATAATTTACCTGCAAAGTATTTAGGAATTATGATAACCAAAATAACAGCCATTAATTTGGAAAATTGCTGTTTTCAAGCAAGAGAAGATTTGAATCAGCATGGGAAACAAAAACAGAACCAGGGGAGAGCTGACTTCTCTTTTTAACATTTAGCACTAACCAATCACTTTCTCTGCTTCTCACATACAGATACCCCACCATGTGAAGCCCTTGCCATATTACAGCTACGACCAACCAGTGATCGGGTACTGCCAGGCCCACCAGCCTCTCCACATCAACAAGGCCTATGAGGCTGTGTCCATAGACCAGGACGACAGCCCCAGCCTGGAGCTTGGGAGAGACCACAGCTTCATCGCCACCATAGCCAGGTCGGCTGCACCTGCCATTTACCTGGAGAGAATAACAAACTAACCGTGTAGCCAACTCCTTAATGCAGAGCTCCCAGGAGAAGGGAGACCTTCATCACAAAGGAGATGAGGTTTCCAGCATCCTCCAGCCTCAAGAGTCCATTGCTCATGTACAGAAGTTTAGGGCATAGTGAGAAAAAACAAAACAAAACAAAATTCAAACTGCGTATAAGGTTGGGCAGCTGGTGAACCTGCCATCTACCCGGGAGAACACAGAACTTTCTTTGCTTTAAAACATAAAACAAACACAAGTACTCCCGGATGTAAATAGTCAAGAGTGTTAAGTTCTTATAAAAATAGATTTCACCCTAGCTATCTATAGGTTTGTTTGTATATTTGATTTTTCTACACTGCATGGTTCCTGGGATGAGAACCACAAGGGGGAGGGTGGGAGTTTTGGGGGAAACAATACAGTTTTCCTTGTAAAGTGTGCATAACACTGAGAGACCTAGTTTCCGTTTTGTTTTTCCTTTAAAATCTGGTTTTATTCTTTTGTTTATTTTATTTTTTTCTTAATTTCCTGGTGGAATGACTTTCTATTTCTAAATATGAGTACTTACATGGCACCAAAAGAAGATTTTGTTTTGCACTGACCTCAAGTAAAGAAAATTGACGTCAACATTCAATAAACTATGGGAATGAGTTAAATACATCAAAGTGTATATTCCTTCAGTACACATTATAGATGGTACTAAGAACTCTGGTTTATTCCTCCATTGGTATCCATCATGGCAGGAAACCTGATAACCAGGCCAGTGAACACCTGGAGTGGAGAAGAACCTGAGAACTACCCTCAGCAGAGAGCGGCTCTCGGTGAACAATTGACAAGAATGGTCCAGTAAAAGAAACTGTCAAGGGATGAATTTCTAAACTCAATATAATGTGTAATATTGCTTTTAAATTTAATTATCACTTAGCTTTTGTGTAATTTTTATCAATAAAAGAAAAAATGTTGAAAAATAAAATACATTATTTGGCGGTTGATATACCATAGCCCATATTCATATGTGTGGAATGTTCCTCCCTGGTGTCAGAGTAATGATGTAGGAATCTGTCAATGGTTTTCTCTGTCCCATGGTCAGGTAGAGAAGCATCAATAATTGTAGAAAACATACATGAAATGAAGCTGAGATAGTAACATGTTCCAAAAATTACTTAGAGGTATCCTTACTCTAAAACATATCGTGCAACATGAGAAAAATGTATCAGTAGGATAATTAAAGACTGTATGATTTTGTAGGAAAGACAGAGCCATGTGGGAATTAGTAACTACACAGCAAAATACATAGCAATCATTTTTTTAAATCATCTCTCAAAGGAGGTAATGGGGGCTGGAGAGATGGCTCAGTAGTTAAGAATGTTTGCTTCTTTTGCAGAGAAGGACCAGTGTTTTATTCTTAGAACCTGTATCTGGCTATTCACAATCACCTATAATTTAGCTGCAAGAAATCCAATACTCTTTTCTGGCCTCCATAGACACATGCACAGAGATGGACTTATCCACACGTATACATATACATATTCATATACATACACATACACATATACATATAAACATACATACACACATTAAAAAATAAAATAAAATCATCCAAAGTTCTAATGATGCAGCTATCAGGCTGTCATATGATTTTCTGTTTGTCATTAGGGTGCTGGTATAATTCTCCAACTCACCATGGACACTTCCCTAAGGTAGTCTTTGGTCCAATTTGAGTAGTTTTATTTTTTAAAACAAGATACATCTATGATGTTGAGGATATTTATTAAGGCAATTTTTACATTTCTTAAAACATCTTGTATTTGACAATGATTTTTGTAGATATCCTTAAGAACTAAAAAATTTAGTCTAAACTCTGAAATTAACATTAAAAGAGCTTTATAAATTATTTTTATCAAAGTTATAAATAACTACAAAGCAGAGCTATCTAAAGCCAGATAGGGTACTGAACATACATTTTTCTTTTCAACATCATTCTGTTCAAGTACCATTCTAAATTAGAATTAAAGTTACCCTCCATATTAAATGAGAAAATTGTAACTGTTGTGCTAAAGGAAAACTCAATCAAGACAGCTCTTATTTTCACATTTAAAAGAACCATTGTTGCCCAATTATTTATTTTTTTGTTAGTATTTATCATCTAAATGATATGTATTTTCTTACTGATGAATATAGGAAGAGTTGACCATGAGTTTAAAATTTAAAAATACTTCTTTGCTGCAATGACTTTGCTTTTAGGATTTGGCCAATAAACTTTCCAAATTAAAATGATTTTTTTTTCACGGATGGGTATCTTTCCCATTTTTCAAATGGAGATATTTTCTTTTCTCACAGAAACCATCAGGCACATTCATGACAACTGATTTTTCATCTAAAAATCTTGATCAAAGTTAGCTTTGTCCAGTCTACTTCTATATTTTACAACCAAAAGCATACCAAGTAGACATGATTCCTCCTGCTATTTAAAATTACCGTAGTTGCCCAACCATTGCCTAAAGTCAAACATAAACAATGAGGTGAACTGTTAGGGAAACAGACAGCATTATGAAAATTTTGAGCTTCTAAACATGAAAATTTCCAAAGAACTTATTTTAATATGCATATCATTTATATGTGACAGAATAAGTTTGCATTGAGTTTTGCAAATATCTTGAAGCTTAGAACGGGTAAACAAGAAAACATCAGAGTGCAATTTTCCTTGTGTAGTCCTGGAGACGTCCCGAAATGCAAACTTCAGGCCTAATACTGCATAACAGGCTTCAAAGAAAAGATACCTTAAATAAAAAATAGCGATATTTCATCAGAGGGCTTGAAACTCTAACATTAGATTATTGATCCTTTAAGCAAAGAGAAAAACGAAAAAGAAAAAATTTATTATCTGTATGCTGAAAGCTTTTTATAAGCAAAGATGTGAGGAACCAATAAATCACCATTCAGGCTGCATTGCCTTGTAGATATCTACACAACCAGGCAAACTTTCCTATGCAGGTCACTTTCACTCCATTCCTGGTTCATTCATGTGCTTAGCTATGCAAGCTAACTGTCCTAGAGAGCTGCACATTCCACCACCTGAAAGAATGGCATGATGCAGAATGGTGACTGTAGGTAATATAAAGATTTTCCACTGTCTTTTAGATGCCAGGAATTATGTTGATTCTACTGAGTGTTTGAGTTAGAATGTTAGAAAGCCCTATAGAAGAAAGCCTACTCTTGTTTAGAACTCTCCTTACTAGAAATCTGACTTTATACTAGATTATTTATTGGATGTCTGAAAGCTGAAGAGTCTCATGGAATATTCACAGAACAAGGGACTCAAAATAAGCCCTAAAAACAATTATATACCAAACTCAATATAGCTTGGAACAGCCAGTTTCCCAAATATTATGATTCATTTTCTTCATAAATATTAATAATACAGAGTATGCATCTACTTACTTCAACAAGTAGTATGTAAGTACCTGAGATCAAAAACTGAGAAGTATTTAAGAGTAACCATCCCTTGCATTCTCAGCCCTTTGAAAGTCTGCATCAGTATTTCACACGTGAACTTCAGAGACTGAAGATGACATAATTAATAAGAACTTTTACTTGAAGGATGCCAGAGAAAAGCCAAGCAGTTTCTAAAATAAAGCTATATACATTTATAATATTCTACCAAGTTTTATTCGATAATGAAGCAGTGAGGGCAGGGGATGGAGGTCTCAGGAAGATGTCCTCAGGAGCATCTCTCTTTAGCCTCCAGCTACACTTTTATCTACTTCTGAGTAGAGAAAATGGCAGGTCTAAATTCTTACAAAATAGCTGATATCATGAACCTGCAGAAATGGAATATATAGCACTCCAATCTTAAATTTGTGCATTTTATGAACAGTTCATACATTTATCAATAAATAGACATGGAAATTTTCATTAACAACTACATAATTTGTTACCTAATAATTTAACAAAATCAGCAACACAACAACAAAAATATGTCACAGGACATCCAGGAAGGAATGTTGTAATGTGTTGCTGTGATAAAGAATGCAAGCGTATCACACAGACTTAGAATGGATTTGTCAATGTCACACTTCCAAGGAGACAACTACAAATATAGTAGCCAGAATATATAATATTGTTCAGAGCATTGTGCATGTCACTGATCAACAAATAACTGAAAGTTGGATTTCAGTGATGCCACACATAAGATCATCTCCAAACCTATAAACCTGGAGAAAGGCAACCATAAGGACTTCTGTCTGCTGTTTAAGCCCTGGATACTATAAGTAGTGTTGACAATGAAGTTTTAGCTGGCGAATCTAAGACTTTTAGGGATCTACCTTATCTAGATCATTCTTAAGGTCTCGTCCCTGCAACTATCTAATTCTGAAGTCACATGGCTATAGAGCACATCCTGAATAAGACCTGATTATTGAGTTGCCACCTCCCATGGTATGTATTTCTTCAATATAGAGATGCACATGCAGTAAAAAAAAAATCTGAAATTTGGGTTATCTATCATTGAAATTAACATTTAAACCTGACAAAGTATTCATCAATAGGAAGAGATCTTGAGTTACCAGCACTTCTATAACAAAGTTTTCTGCCTCTTATTTTCCCAGGAGTTCTGAGTTGTTCTTTACTATATCCTGAGAATCCGGGCTTCTTAAAAGCTGAACACTATATTTCTTTTGACCATGTTACCACTCACCTAATTTCTGCCTGTATATTGCAATGTTTTCTTACTTAACCAACTCTGGTGAAGGCTCAGTGCTTTCTATTCCTCACACACCCAGCATGTGCTTTTGGCCACTGTTTTAGTCACTGTTCTATTGCTGGGAGGAGACACTCTGACCACAGTAACTCTTATAAAAGGAAGCATTTAACTGGAGCTTTGCGTACGGTTGCAAAGGTTTAGAGTATTTCCATCATGATGGTGAGCATGATGGCATGCATGGTACTGAATCAGCAGCAGAGAGGTACATCCTGATCTGCAGGCTGAGAGAGAAAGACTGGGATTGGCACAGGCTTCTGAAAACCTCAAAACCCACCTCCCAGTGACACACTTCTTCCAACAAGGTCACGCCTCCTAGTCCTTGTAATTCTTTCCAACAGTTCTATCCCCTGGTGACAAAGTACTCAAATTATGAGCCAATGGGGGGCATTCTTATTCAAAGCACCACAGCCACCTTCACTTGCTCTTGATCTTCCTCCTAGCTAGCTACTCTCTTTCCTCCACTCCCTTTAAACTTTACTACTCCATAGGTGAGAACATGTGAGGTATCAGTTTCTAGTCTCCTCGCATGCAAAATCAGTGGTTATTGAGTGTTGCCATATAGTGCAGTGTCCTGGATGAGTGTAGAAAAGAAATTGGTGTTCTCCATGCCCAAATGTCTGATTTATTGAGTCTAGGATGAGGTCCTAGAAGGGATCTAAGAAGACTCCAGCATATCCTAAGACTGCCGATGTGAAGGGGCACATTAGAAGAATGGTAACCCTAAGCATAGATGCTTACAGCCCTATATGTTGATAACTCTATGCAGGAACTCAAAGTCTACACTAATATTTTCTTAGTAGATAAATTTAAATGAACATTAAAAATAAAAATTATTTAAAACAAATAATAACATTATATAACCGAACACTTATGAAAGTTTTCTAAAATGTGCATATAGCACTAATAAATAATGTTATTTATGAAAACCAAAGAGCAAAACATAAACATTAGCAAATGTAATACTTGTAAAACAAGAAATGTTCCATTAAAACACATTAAATGTTTTTCAACCCTGGCTTTTCTAAATCTGTTCTAGTACAGTAGTCTTCTTTAATTCAGTGCTAACCAAATCCTTTAGAACAAATTTCCTGTGCAGCTCATTTTGGAGAGGCTGATTTAAGGAGTACATTCTTTTTGGCCATGAAGAAAAGCATAAACCTTAGTGGAGAGCTGCTTCTACATTTGCGGATGATACAGTGTTCTCAATTTTCTACAATGCATTCAGCCTTTCT